ACAACTTGTCGTACAGGGGTATAATTTCAATTCTTTTGAACTTTTGTTTCTGAATTTTTGGTCCAAACCCTCTTACAAAAACTGTTGCGAGTCCTTTCCATTTACACGAACAAATTACCGACTTGGGGGTGTTTTAAGTAACAAACAGGTAAAAACGTTACAGTGGCAAATAGTTTCATCATTTGTATTACAAACAAAAATACGTAAAGAGACTATAGTGGGCCATGGACATCAATTAAAAACCTTACACCATCCTACAGTTATTCACATAACGACTTATTTTGAAAAGCTTTACGGTTCCAAAAATGGTCCAATCCGAACTATTTGCAATAATAGCATCTGTTCTTGGGCCAGAATACTTCAGGCTAGCAAATTGGGAGGTTAGATTGGACACAAGAAAACAAGGCGGACAGATAAGATAGACTCAGAAAGTGATTCTAAGTCGAGTCGCATAATAATAGGTCGACCTATATCAACTCCTTCTTGGTGTTGCATGCATCTGCAAAAACTTAATATCTCCTCGCGCCGAAAATGGTGCGGGATATGAAAATTAATAAAAAAAAAAAACCCGACAAAGACATTCGAAGTTATCCATTGAACGATCTGAGAAATATTGGCATAAGCTGTGCTTGCCTCACTATTGTTCCTATGCAGGAACTCTTAACTAAACGCCTGTAATATGGCAAGAGCGGGCAAGATAAGGGTCTATGTTGCTAGCGACCGAATAAAAAAAGGGAAAGACTTTAGGCAACATGACCGTCGAACTTACTGGGCAATCTGGTCACTATTGATGAGACTTGGATCCACTGTGAACCACTGAATATCCGAGATTCAGCTTTTGCCAATTCAGTCACGGGATGTCGAGCGTGACAAAACGACATTTAAAGAGGGTGTTGGATGCTGTGGATAAGTATTGAAGGAATAGAGAGGAGGGATCGTGTGAATTGACGTTGGCTTTATCCGTATATAAGGGGAAAATTGATAAAAGACATAAGTCTTTTTGGCCATAGTTTTTGTAAATTTGTATTAAGTTCAGATCATCCAGATCAAATTTGGTATAGAGGAACCCTGCTAAGTGGACAAATCCGCAAAAAAATGCTTATGACCGTCTTGCGGCTAGTGACGCATTTGTAATGTTGCTAGGAAGCTATCTACTATTTGAGCATGCCCGCAACTTTTTGATCATAGTACACGTATATAACAACATAAGATTCGCAGTTAATTTGCGGATTCGCCAAAACCGCCTAAGATAAGAAATTGAAATAAAGAGGTTAAGATTAGTTAGTAGCGGGCTTATTACTAACTGCCCCTTTAGGAAAAGGGGTGTGTATCTAAACGAGGGGTAACTAAGATTCGCCTAAAGGCCAGGCGAACACTGGGTTTTCTTTTTCTATAGCATTTTTATGGTCCTTTTTTAATGAAACAAAAAAGAGGAAAACAATTCGTAAAACTGTAACATTATTGTGATGATGACATCCCTAAAGAGTGTAAAATACACATTCAGTGTCTTGCCTCATAATCAACATTTTAAAACATTTGTATTCATACAATTGTTAAGCAAATGCAAGATAAAAACCGTTTACCTCTACCAAACTCGGACATGGACACTGCTACTACCTTCACAAGTAGCGTTGCCTTCTGCAGCCTCTAGCATTTAATTTAACATCAAGTTGGTGCTTAAGCGAATCCGAATATATGTGCATGTATGTGTGGTATGGTGAGATGTATCGTATACGAGGAGACGCTATATGAAAGTATAAACAGTTTATGAGAGTTGAAGTGACCGACCGAGAAACACCAAATAAAACAAAATTATATAGCTGAAGGCTCTTGCACGTAATGCCAAAAGTCAACTATTTACAATACAAAGTTTTTCTTTTTTCCTATTTTTTTTTTTTTTTTTTTTATTATTGTTGTAATTTTTGTTGGTTTACTTGTGAATTAAGAGCAACCGCAAATATTCATTTGCCAGATGTAAAGTTCAACGGCGTCATTGCCGGTCGCGAGCAAGAAAATAAAACATCGTCCCGTATTACATTGAATAAATGCGGTAAGGAGATGGGTTTACGTGAACAGGGATAGTGGAGGAGAAATGAAAACAGAGAACCTTAACAGATTGCTAGGCATACACATAACATACATTGTGGTCTTCCTGGACAGCACTTAATACCATGTTTGACACACTCACACGACAAGTTGACTAAATTAAAAATAAAAGTTTATTAAAATAACAAAAAATAAAAAATATATATTTATATATGTATATATATAAGTAAAAAAAAAACAAAAAAAAAAAAGAAAAAATTACGTACATAGGTATCTGTGCGCGGTCACATTTGCATTCATACCAAGGGCCAAACCACTAGCAATCTATTTGTTAAAGTAGTCAAAACTCCGGACCACACTGGTATCTTGTGTGCGCTTGTTTATGTATGCGTGTATGAGTGCGTAAATGCAAGCAACACAATATCAAATATAAAACATAAATAAAATTACTTACGCTTATTTTACTCCATGTAATATAATCGAAACAAAAAAATCAACAACAACTGGTGTAACGGTGTCCTCTCTACCCTTAGAATATGAATTCAAACCAAATTTCATATTACAATTGGGGGAACAGAAAAAAAAAAACGAAAGGAACAAACTCGTAGAGATGGTAGCGGTGTTAGCCGTTTAGTTTAAACTGATGATCGGTTTACCTGAAGTGTAATCAAACGGGTCAATGAATGAATGAACGAACGAGCACAACCACACTTTTAATTTGCTTGTTAAAGCGTGCAATTTATATACGACGATCATAAAATGTCTCAAAAAGACAACAAAAGCGAGTCATGAATTTTCAATATTTTCCGCCATAATCATGCAGAAGAAGAAGAAGAATCATTTGCTGCGAAATAGACAAAGTAAGTATCAGATCGTGAAGGATGAAATTTATAGAAAAAATGGTACAATTGGTTGGTAATCTAAACGTGGATTCATAGTGCCTACATAGCTTTGTCATGTAAGCGGCAGATTACTAAGGCCAGTAATATGAAACCTAGACGGACGGAAGTCAATGCATACCTGGAAGGGGACTTTTATAGTATAGTGGGAATAAAATTGTTTCCTGACAACAAAGACCAATAAATTAATTTTCAATATTTTTCGCCAAAAAAAATAATCCTGAAGAAGGAAAATCGTTTCGAATGAAGCAGAAAGGCTAATTAAACTAATCAAACAAATAAGTAAGAAAATTATCTTCAGCTCACCTAAGTTTGACGTACCTAATATTTGAAACGAATGTAAGCAAAATGTCCGCGAAAACGATGAGAAAATCACCGATTTGTACGCTTTAACGCAGAAGTACGTAAACAGATATCGGATAGAAAGACTTAAGGCTTCACCCGATCGATACTGTAAAAGTAGAGTCCAGTCATTCTTGGTGTTACGTACGTCTGCGCAGACTAAATGAACACTTAACATAAATGACGTAGAGTATAATTACCCTCGCTTAGGAACGAATTTCGATTATCTGTCACCTCAAGTGAATACATTAGATAAAAATAAGTAAATAACTAAAAGTCGGGCAAGATCGGCTTTCGTATATCTTACCCCGCCTAATAGTGTTTATTTTCCAAGAGGACATTTATAAGGGGTATGGTGCCAAAAGGCAAATGTTCGTGGTCTGCATTTGATACAATAAATCCTGATGTCAAGTTACTATTTTGGACAAAAATATTCTTCATAAAACGTTAAACATTACATCCTCTTGCTCTTGCTTAAGGGCTTATTTTTTAAGAGAATTTTAATTAAATGAGAAGGACTGATAAAAGCTGGATCATCCGATTAATATTCATCGTTTTTTCGCGAAATTTCGAAATTTGCAATTTTTTTGTCATATAACGGCTTGGTCGCAAAAGTCGTCCGATTAAAACCATTTCCATTAGCTCTCCGGAGAGTAAATCACTACGTCATATAAGTCGAAATATCTCAGACATGGCGACCTGGTATTGAGTGGATAACGAAAGCGAAGCCTACTTTGATCAGAAACACAGATCGTCTTCAGGAACTTATACTGCTAATTTACTTTTATGCCAATTTTAGCAACGAAGTAATGCAATTACATTACACTATATTTTGTTGATTACATCTAAGAATGTTAAAAGTTTCCATTGCCTACATTTAAGATCGCTTCTAGTTTAATAACTTCCCACAGAACATAAGTAAAATTTTTTCGCTATCATATCGGAATTTCCTTGCATACTTTTGAGGGCGACGAATTTTCATGCAACGATAATAATGAGAGCATCTCGTTAGAAAGTTTTGTTACCCGCTTTTAAGCCCAATAAGAAAATTTTTTTTGCCTATTTTAAGGATCTGCTTTTGTGAAGATATAATAAAATTGGAGTCGATTTTGCAAATTATTAGTCTTTGCTATGATAAACAATTTCAAACGGAAATTTTAAAAGTCAAAAGAAACGTTTGCTTGTGAATTCTTTTAATATTCTTCAAAAATCTATTTAAATATAAATAAAAACAAGCTTTTATGTGTACGTTTTTTAGTTTTTTGAACATTTACAAGAATGCCATGAGAATCGTAATGTCTTCGGTGCACATTAAATTTATTTAAGAAATCATATGTACTTGAAGCATTCAAATAAGACGCGAATAGTTGAAACGTAAAAGACATAAACTTTATCTATCACTCACAGTTTGTTTGCTTATAGTATACTAATACTCTCGCTTAATGCATGTTGAGATATGCCTTAACCTTAAAACAGGCTTTCGGGTCAAAGAAAACCTTTGTGAATTTCCTATGTAAGAGAAGAAGAAGGCTTGCAATAAAATAACAACTCTATCTATCCGTCTATCAATGTTTGTAATGGGTTTTCATCAAATTCCTACTAAAAACAAAACCAAAATATTTTTATGTATATATATATGTCGTCCCAGCAAGCATATACAAGACTATCGGTAATGTTTGTGTTGTAACAATTTGAAATTTAAATAAAACTGACCTCATTTGTATTCCAACGATGACGTTGTGACGGGAAACTGTCAGCTCTTGGCAAGCTTTCCAAATTGTCTGGTAGCTTGATGGGTTCACCATCTGTAATAGCAACAAAACATACATAAAATCAAAACACTTACACAATCACATCACAACATGACAACAACTGTAGCTGTGTAAATCTTCAAATCAATTTGATAACAAATAGACGAAAATATTCAGAAGAAAGGTTATACTTTTTCCCGAAATGGAAAAGAAAAGGAAAAAATAAATAAGTAAATAAAAGAAACGCGCGAATATTAAATTAATTGTATATTTTGATGAAAGGGAAATAAATTGCAAGAAAGGGAATGAATAATAACAGCAACAATATATATTTGATTGAAATATTTTAACATTTATTTTGAATGAGTTTTGCAGCCACACTAAGAAACATTAAATGCATCATTATTTTAACATTTATCATTCGCACTCGTAACCTTAAGGGTTTATTTATATAGAATCAAATATTTTAATAAAACTCATTCGTCGTATATAATTTTTTTTGTTTTTTTTTTTTTGTTTTTTTGTTTTTTTATATATACGAGGAGTATTATCATAATCATCATAAAGTATCATTAATTTTGTATTTATGATAATTGACTTATCATATGTGTCGCACATCAAATTCAAGTGCTGTTGTATGCCTTTGAATGTTTACAGAATGAGTTATGTGCTCTTGATATCCCACCATTCGTGTGACTATATTTTTTTTGAAAAAATTCTCATACCTGTCCTTACTTAGTAAACATGAATTATGAACGCTTAGCTTACATTTACATACACAATCGAACTACAGTAAGCAAGTAAGAAAGTTACAACAACACTGCACCGAATTTTTAATACCTTATTTTTTACTATGAGCACAAAGGAGTTGTGGCGAAGCGGGAAAGTGAACGGCGCTTCAGAATATTTCATTTTAAAAATTTGCATAATTCAGATAATTACTTTTGAAAAATTCCTCATCGCTACCAGCTGACTAGGAATGTATAAGATTCTAATTTTTTTTTATAGCTTTCTTCATTTTTATTCCTTTCATTGTCAAGGCTTGCAGGGCAGTTTACACACTTTGGTTACCTCGACTTCTTCAATCCGGCTTAAGAATAACTATATCAAATTTTAGTTTTCTGCAGCCTATTGTTAGATGGACATAGGTATAGACAACATCTGATATTGATTTACAACATTTTCACTTTCAAAACAATGACAAAGTTGGTAATGCTTGCAAATTAACACAAACAGTTCAAAGAGTGCAGCTTCGGGTCAACTTGTACACTGTTACAGGTGGTTGCTGATACTTATATTACTGCCTTAACACATTGATGTCTAATGTAGTGGAAGTCCTTCAGACTCTCTCGTGAGCCCTCATAACACAGTCTGTTCGTTTTTAAAGCCTTCCCACCTGCTGCTCATCATTCAAACTGTTTGAATACTTTAGTAGGCATCCAATGTGTATTGTTGTTTAGATGCCAAAATCGTAGATGGGTGCAGCAGTTTTTTTTTTTTACTCGGAATAATTTCAACATAATAATAATCTGAATAAATGAACGGTTAAGCCCTGATTACGAATGCATGCGTCTTTTGATTATCTACCAAGGAAATAAGTAAATAAGCGAAAAGGCTGCTATTGTCTCATCTCTAATTTTATTACCACTAAAGTTATTAAGTATTCTATATAAGAAAAGTGAATTCACTTTAATGCCATTCATTGTAGGTAGAATGATAAAGAGAACCACAAGTCACCCTCGGTACCATAGACATTCGTCAATTATCCCAAGTAGATGGGCAAATAGCATGCCAAGCACTGATTCTATTGGAGGCTAACGTTAAAGAGATGAGTGATAAAGCGTTTTCTACGCCTTCTTTACGATGCTGCTTGTCAAGCTCTATTTGAGTTAGCTTTCATACGTAAGAAAAATTTTAAAAAGTAGAGACCACACGTCAAACTCAGTCATTTCCGACATCGCAGAAATCAGTATTCAAATGGGTAGCTAGGTCAAGATGGACAGACGAAGGTGGTTCCAAGCTGGGTCTTTCGTTCAACAACTCTACGTCCTCTTCTATCACAATTGGTGTAGGGTACAATGATATAAATATAAATATAAATATATGTAGAGAATATGCGACGAATGGTGAATGCAAGTCCGAAAAATATGTAGCTGGCAAGATTCTGAATAAAATCTTTGCTACCATTCTCCTTAAGAGTGAGTTTAAAAAAGAGAAAAGAGATAGGAATTTATCTGACCATTTGACATAAGGCCTCCTATAAATCTATTTCTGAATATCAGCAAGGGATCGACATCGTTTGTTGTTTCCATTTCACCCTGATAAGGAGTAGGCTGGTAATGGTGCCGGCCTAGACATCCAAAAGTAATGATAATTCCAATCTCTGTCTTTGAATTAATTCGTAGATAAGATTGTTGTGCATTTGCAATAATATACCGAAGTGAAGAACAACTGTTTGTACCGGACTGAGTTTTGCATAAGTCTCGATAATCGACTCAAATTTTTTTTGCATGTCTCCGACTCTCGTAGGAAGCGACTTAGTTAATACATCCTATGGTTGCGAGTATGACAACATCAAGTTAAATATAAACTATGTAAACTATTTATCATTTTTTAGTGTCGTTGTTGTCAGCAATTGTTTTTGGACTGCCATCAGTTTAAAAAAGTCATAAATATTACTACAAACTGCACTTAGTATATAGTAATAGCAGTAGTGCTGGTAGTAGTAGTAGTAGTAGTAGTAGCGGTAGTAGTAGCGGTAGTGGTAGTAGTTGTAGTGTAAGGCGGAATTTTTGTATCACATTTTGAAAATAATTTTTTCAGGCTTTTTTTTTTTTTTCTTTTCTTCGCCTTTTTCTTTCATTGCTTTGCCTTCTTCTTATCGGGGCATTATTCAAAATGAATAATTACATATTGCACTTAAGGAAATACTCTGGCAGATCCTGTTAGAGAAGAGCCATAAGTTCGGCAAAATGAATAAATAACAAATAAATACTTTACCAAGATAGAATAAATTGTGCATTTGCTGCTAATAAATACGCAGACTAAACTTTTTTCAAACAGTAATTTAGAAAATTTCGGAACGCAGTTTGTGAAGTGAAAACACGCACATACATATTGTTTATAATAGTTATTCTCTTGGAGATGTATTCCAATCATTGCTGAGCAAATAACTGCTATGTGTGTTTATATCCGTGCGTATGCGTGTGTGTGTGTGTGTGTGTACATACATTTTGAGTAAATTATTGTAAGCCCATAATATATTAACAAATCAATTTTTATTGTCAAACTCTTTGCAAATTGCTTGACTTTTTTTCTCTTCCTTTTTCTACTGGAGGGGAGCCAGCTGGGCGAGGGGAGCATGAGGACGAAGCCACTTAACCGCAACTCGAGAGAACTTAATTTACAATCACTTGTTTGCCATTCATTTCGTACACGGATGAGCGTGGGGTGAGAGAATGGGAAGAAAACTTTACATAGCGAATTTCGTTCGCATACCAAGCAAACGCACCCATAATAATATTCAGAAAGTTCAATTTTTTACTGTTCTTGTTCTTCCTTTTATATATTTTTTTTTTATTTTTTAATTTTTTTTTTTGCAGTTTTGTGTTACCCCCGGAACACATCATCGCCAAAAGTAAATTCCCTTTTACTGACTCACACCCACCCCTCGCACAATTTGCTTTACGCCATCTACTTCACACCACCACTACCTGAGTACTTTGACAATCACTGCCAACATGTATATGCAGTTTATGATCCCTAAAGTGTTGTATTGTTTGTGTTTACGTTCGTGTTGTTTTTTTTTTTTTTTGTACGACTCTATTTGCACGTGTATCTGTGTGTGTGCTTGTGTATATGCTACATGCTTTATTACTTTCTGGCTTGTAAACATTGACTATTTTAAACGCATATATATATATATATATATATTTATGAGAACATATTTATATATAAAAATATTTTATAAATGATTTTTATAGCTTTGGCATGACGGCAGAGTAAACTTGTCCTTTCGTTTGTAACATTTGCGAATATTTATCAGACTTGACTTAGTCCTTTAAGTGCTGATATAAATGACAAGAGCCAGATTTTAAGTTGATTCAAGTAAGTATAGGATTTGCTCGCGCTTACTAGTCGATCCGTTTAGTACTTCAGTTCAGTTCTCAGACTCCTGGTAAGTGTTTCTGTCCTTATACGTCCACCTGTGCATTATTTTAGGTCTCAGTCGCTTGATCCATTTCTCTGCTCACTCCCTCTCTGGTCAATCTCTTTATTATTTCAGCTCTCAGCTCTCTTACAGTTTTTAATGGATGTTAAGATCTAGTAAATATGAGAAGTACCGCGCACGACAAAGTCCATTAGGCTATGTTTGAGCTTAAACTCAGGAGCAAATCGGTTAGAACTTGAATAACAACAAGAATTTCATAATTAGTTTTATGACCTATTTGCCGGACTATTGACTGACGACTCTATGGTTTCATATACAACTATGTAGCACATAGCTATTATATAGTATTTTGTTTTATCATTTAAAGTAGAAATCTCGTCTCTAAACTTGGTATGGCCTCTATCAGAAGTATTTGGATCTGGTAATAATTAAATTAAAATTCTTCATACTTCTTTTAGCTGATAGGCATCTAAAGTTCGCTAAAGTCTGGCATATTTTATTCGTGTGTTAGTACACATTTACCTATAACGCGTACACATCATGCTTACCATATACCGTTAAGTATGTATTTATATGAGTGCGTATGGTTTTATACAAATAAGTATTTATGTTATTATATGTATATATATATATATATATGTAAACATATGTTTACGTAAAATGCTGTTACTTTTCAACTTTTATTATTCATCTAATTTGTCATTTTCCTCCTGATAGTTGGTGGTAGATAGGAGAGAGCTGCACTTCATTCGCAATAATTGTTGTTTATACATGTCGGTCGGTAGTTTAAATTATAATAAATGGACTCGATTTCTATCCATTTTAATAGCTATTTATCAATAGTGAGAAACTTTTTTCTACTAAAATGCAAAAAAAAAAAAAC